ATGTTGTGGTGACCTCCAACCATAAAAATATTTTCATTGCTACTTCATAACTGTAATTTTGCTACTGTTTGTTTTCATGTCTAATATGCCTCATATAAGTATTGCTACCCCAGCATTTTTTGTTTATTTCCACTTTCATGAAATATCTTTTCCCATCCCTTTACCTTCAGTCGGTGTGTGCCTTTCTATCTGAAGTGAGTCTCTTGTAGCAGCCAGAGAGGCACAGGCAGATGGCCCAAAGGAGCCTCCCACCCCCACCCCACTCGCCAATTATAAATATGCATAGGTAGTTGACTTTTTCATCTGTTTCTTCTAGCTTCTTGCAGAAGTTGTTGATTTTTTTCCTCCATCCGGTTTATGCACTCTAGGACCCTTATTCTGAATTCTTTTTCTGTCATGTTGCATGCCTCTGTATTACTTAGCTGCTTTTCTGGAGAGTCCTCCTTCTCTTTCCTTTGGGGGTTCCTTTGTCTACCCATGTTTGATCTCACTGACATATCTAGACGTTGAGTCGTTCAGTGGCTGCTCCCTGGGTGGCAGTGGCTCCTTGGGCTGTGGTTGCTCCTCGGGCGGTTGCGGTAGCAGCTGCTCCTCAGTTGGCAGCAGCTCCTCTGGTGGGTGCTGTTCACAGCTGTGGTGGCTCCTCTGGCTGGTGGGGGGAGGCTTCACGTACAGCTGCTGTTCCTCCGACAGAGGGTGTGGTGCTCAGGAGGCTGCTGTTGCTTGGATCTGCTGCGTTGATTTAAAGGCACAAAATACAACACAACAAGGCACCACGTACCAGGCACTAAACACAAATATATTCACGATATTAATAACCCCAAATAAAGGTGACCACCCGAATTAAGAGAATTAAGGGATAAGGAAGAAAGAAGAGAAAAAGATAAAAGAGAAAAAAGAAAAGAAAAGAAAAGTAGGGAAGAAAAAAAAAGAGTGCAAAAATGAAATTGGGAAAAAGGAGGGGGAAAGAAAAGAGAAAAAAAGAGAGAGAGAGAGAGAAAAAAAGAGCGAAAAGAGAGAATGAAGTAGAAGAGGGGAAGAGACTGTGTATATGAGGAGAAAACTCCTATAGAACCGCCACTAATCCCAACAAATTCCAGCAACAGCTCCCTGGAGATGAATGCAAACTAGAAACAACCAATAATATCAAGAGAGGCAAGGGAAAACAGAAGCACAAAAATAACCGGGGGGGCGGGGGGGGGGGGGAGGAGGGAAGGGAAAAACCAGCAGAAAAAAAGAAAAAGCAAAAGCAAAACAGCCTCACAACCAGTCCTAAAACACACACACACACACACAGACACACAAAAAAACAAACAACAACAAAAAGAACAATATACTCAACAATCAAGCAAACAGCAACAAAACAATAGAAAGATAAAAGAAGAAAAAAAAATTTGGATAGTGAAGAAAGATAAGGGATATGTGTATAAGGATTTAGAGCAATGGATGCCAATTATAAATATGGAGGGAGCTTTGCTTAGCTTTAGGTCAGACAGGGTGGGCTCTGCCTGAGGACCTGCCCTGAGCCCAGGGAGCTATGGGCCTGGAGCCCCACCCGGCCTTCAGGTGAGTCACTCCTTCCTACCTCTCAGAGCCACCAGTCAGTTCTGTTAATGATCTGAGATCTTCCTGTTTCTCAACCTCTTTCACAACGATGGGGGCCCAAGGCCAGCACCCTCCTGAGGGAGTGAGGGAACGGGAGCAAGGAACAGAGGTCAGGGTCACCTGGCACGGTGTGTCCTTTGAGTTTCTTGGGAAAGCTTCCTGGGGCTCAGCAGGAACATTGTACTCCTGTAAAGTGAGAGACCTCTGCTTCTACAAAGCAAATTCCTGCGATCACCAGTCTACTCTTCTCTGTGGCTCTGTCCTTAACTCTGATGCTGTCTTTCGAGCTCTCTCTGCCCAGCTTATATGGGCCTTAACTCGGTGTTCCCGCAGCAAGTGCAGCTGACCAGGGGGTGTACCCCAGCAGGCTCGGGCCCTCCGTGCTGTAGCACAGCCCCGGCTGCTGCTGCTGAGTCCCTGGAAACGGTCAGAGACAAAGCTAAAGGTAAACAGCACAGGCAGGCGGCACTGAGAAACTTAGGGAGAGTCATGTGAAACTTCCCATAATATGCTGGTTTTGACCTACACACACACACACACACACACACACACACACACACACACACACATAAAAAAGCACCCGTATATGTTTCAAACACAAAAGCTGCCTTTGAGACCAAAATACATAGTCACAGAAGCAAATCCGTGGTGCCACCCAGTGGCCAGAGCAAGCAAGCAGAGCTTGTTTCATTAATCATGATGGCAACAAATAACAGCCCGATTTCCAACGGGTGCGGCCCAAGAATTTTTAAAACACGCAATACCTGACTATTTAGTCAGGGGCATGGACCTCTTTTCCCTTAGGTTGTCAAATTTAAAAATGTCAACAGCCAAAACAATAGCTGTCTGGTGTGAATGAATCAAAATTATACCTTTTTTTTTGTCAGATCAGAAAAGAATATTATGTATTTTTTGGTGTGCCACAGAATTTTAGCAAATTAGTTTATGTGCGTCATGAGGTGAAAACAACTGAAACTCTGACATTTTGGTATCTTTCATCTGACCATCCATATAAAATGTTCCCATTCAAACATTACCCAAAATCATGGTTAATGATTAAAACAACAACAAAAAAGTCTGTCCTTGTGTCTAGTGGCACTTTGAGTCTTTTATATCAGGATATTGCAGTATGGCCAGAGGATTTTATGGGACTGGAGGCAACTGGGATAGTCTCCCAATTGACCACAGCTAAATAAATAAATAAAGCATAAGCAACTGAAAATAAAGGTAGAAAGTCACTGCATTGAGCATCTGCCCCCTGGTGGTCAGTGTGTGTCATAGTGACCAGTCATTCCCACTCGATCTGCTGTTAGGGTCAATTTGCATATTACCCTTTTATTACATAGGAGTGCCTGGCCAGCCTGGGTGAGGGGCTGATGGCTGTTTGCAGGTTGGCCACAGCCCCTTCATGGTGGGGGTCCCCACTGGGGTGCCTGGCCATCCTGGGTGAGGGGCTGAGGTCTGTTTTCAGTCTGGCTGCACCCCCTTCAGGGTGGGGGGTCTTGCTGGGGTGCCTGGCAAGTCTGGGTGAGTGGCTAATGGCAGCTTGTAGGCTGGCCAAGCCCCCTAGCGGGTCCCTCACTCCATGAGGGTGTGGCCAGCGTGGGTGAGTGGCTGATGGCTGTTTGCAGGCTGGCCACAGCCCCTTCAGGGTGGGGGTCCCTGCTGGGGTGCCTGGCCTGCCTGGGTGAGGGGCTGATGGTGGTTTGCAGGCTGGCCAAGCCCTCCAGCAGGGACCCTCACCCCATGAGGGTGTGGCCAGCTGAGTGAGGGCTGATGGCTGTTTGCAGGCTGGCCACAGCCCCTTCAGGGTAGGGGTCCTCCTTGGGTTGCCTGGCCAGCCTGGGTGAGGGGCTGAGGGCCATTTGAAGTCTGGCCACAGCCCCTTCGGGGGGGGGGGGTCCTGCTGGGGTGCCTGACCAGTCTGGGTGAGATGTTTGGGTGATGAATGTTTGCAGGCTGGCCAAGGCCATCAGTGGGGACCCTCACCCCATGAGGGTGTGGCCAGCCTGGGTGAGGGGCTGATGGCTGTTTTCAGGCTGGCCACAGCCCCTTCATGGTGGGGGTCCCCACTGGGGTGCCTGGCCAGCCTGGGTGAGGGGCTGATGGCTGTTTGAAGCCTGGCCACAGCCCCTTCAGCATAGGGGTCCTCCCTGAGGTGCCTGGCCAGCCTGGGTGAGGGGCTGAGGGCCGTTTGCAGGCTGGCCACAGCCCCTTCAGGGTGGGGGGGTCTTGCTGGGGTTTCTGGCCAGCCTGGGTGAGTGACTGATGGCTGTTTTCAGGCTCGCCAAGCCCTGCAGCGGGGACCCTCACCCATGAGGGTGTGGCCATCCTGGGTGAGGGGCTGATGGCTGTTTGCAGGCTGGCCACAACCCCCCAGCCACCCAAGCTCCTAGTGGAGGCCGGCTGGAAGCAGGTATCTGGGATTTCTTTATCTTCTATAATTGAAACTTTGTTGCCTTGAGCGGAGGTCACAGCCAGCCAGGGCAGTTGGGAAGCTTGGCTTCCTCCATCACCCAGGCAACCAAGTCTCCTGCTTGCTCCAGCTCCGTGGCTGGATGGTGGGTGTGGCTTGGGGCATAGCAGAGGTGTGGTCAATTTGCATGTTTCTCTTTTATTAGATTAGATAGCTAGATAGCTAGCTAGATAGCTAGATAGATATTTTTTTATATAGATATTTTTTTATTATTAGTTAAGGTATTACAAATGTGTCTTCATCCCCCCCATTAACCCCCAACCTCCCCCTAGATAGATATTTTTAAAGACTTAATTGCAAAGGGGCAGAATGGAAACAGTCTACATCTTGAACTGGACAGTGTTTAGCCTGGTGTTTTCACTTGTCAAGTCATAAAACTGTACACAGTACTTTAAATTTCTGCTCTTGCTGCATATGTAAATATCTCAATAAAGTAGTATTTTTTAAAAAATATTTTTTATTGATTTCAGAGAGGAAGGGAGAGGGAGGGAGAGAGATAGAAACATTAATGATGAGAGTGAATCATTGATTGACTGCCTCCTGCACGCCCCCTACTGGGGATGGAGCCCCCAACGGGGCATGTGCTCTGACCAGGAGTCTAACTGTGACCCCCTGGTTCGCCACTCAACCACTGAGCCACACAGGTCTGGCTAAAGTAGTGTGTTTTTGTGGTGTGTGTGTGTTTTTTTTTTAATGTGAGGGCTGCTGTGAAGCATAAAGCAGAACATAGGGGAAGGGGTTCTGCTCAAGACCCTTCAAAAAAAACATTGATTTTGGAAGGAGGGAGGGATGGTCTACTCCGCGCCAAGTCAGCCTCAGCAAGAGGCGTAGTGAAACATTTCCCCGCCAGAGGGCAGTGTCGTGGTCCGCCGGCCACTACCTTCTGTCCGTCAGCCACCGGGCGGGGGTAGGACCCACATGGACGCGGGGCGGCCACGAGCCCTACATTTGCAGAGGGAAGCCGTGCCCGCCCAGACGGAAGCCGTGCCCGCCGCAGGACCGCTTCCAGCACAGACGCGCAGCGGCCGGCGGCTGCGGGTGTAACAGAGCCCGCGCTCTGGCTCCGCTCCTGGAACCAGGCCCGCGCCTCCGTCCTCCCCGACCTCCTTCCACTCAGAGAAGCAGGTCATCTGAGCTTCAGCAACCCCCACCCACATAGAACTAAATATTTTTCTTTTGAATGACAACAGAAGCGTGGCCTAGATTAATGGCTTAATTGTCCCCAGTGCTAAAAGGCGACTCACCAGCCCTGGCTCGCCAAGGAGGGGGCTGCTCGGGGAATGGGCTGGAATGCGGAGAGGGGAGGGAGCAGTCACTGCCCCGGGGACACGGCCCCACGGCCCAGGGGCTCCCCCATCATCTCCCTCACCCGTGGCCACCGCCCGCAACCGGACCCGGGCGACGCCTTTGGGCAGCCCCGCCCGCCCGCTGGCTCGCTGGTCCCCAGCCCTCTCCTCCGCCCCGCCTGGCGCACTGCAGAGCTTGCGAACTTCCCTGGACCCTGCAGAGAGGAGGCCCTGTCGACGCCTCCCGACTCTGGCCCTCTGGTCCCGGCGGCTCCCGGCGGCTCCGGGCCCACCACCCGCAGGGCAGGCTCTCGCCCCGGTGCAGACGCCGCCAGCGCCGCAGGTGCCGCCCAGAGGCAGCGCGAGGGTGAGTCGGCCCGAGCAGCTCGGGAGGAGTTAAAGGAGGTCAAGGGGGGGGGGGGGGGGGGGTTGGGAGGAAGGCAGGGGGAAGGTAATTGTTCCTATTCCTGCCTTCGCTAGCTGCCAAGAGACCAGCAGATGCGAGAGCCAGGGAGGCAGGCAGGGGAGCTATGGGCTCCCACACATTCTCACAGGCAACTTTCCCCAAACCGGGCCGCGGACCGCAGCACTGACTTGCCCCAGGCTAAAGGAGACTGGAGACCTGCTGCGACTTTTCTGGGGAAGGGAGGCTGTAGGTAAACTCCACTTTAGGGACCTGGACGAAGGCCTAGACTTGAATCCTCTCCTGCTGTGGGCGGGCCTTCGTGGTCACTTTCAGGACTTTATTTTCCCCATCTATAAAATGGGAGTATAATGCTACCTCCCAGGGTCCCTGTTAGGATGAATCCAAAAGACGCTGCAAAGAGCTGAGCAGGAAGCCTGTGAGAGCAGATGGGTTCACGTTGTTTTAGCGGAGAAGACTCTCCACTCGGGCCTTGCGGGTTACACTTAGGCCAGGCCTGCCCTCCTGTTGGCAGCGAAAGGAGCACCGGAATGTTCCCGGCCATTGGACCTGGGTTCAGCAACCTGGGTATTTGAGTTCTGGCTAAAAGGATTCAGCGCCAAGGCTCAAACTATCAAAGAACATTTATTTGGGAAGTCACAGTTAGAAGAAGTGAGCTGTAGAAGAAATGGGCCCAAGGAACAAGTGACGGGCGAAAGAAGGGGCCTTGGAGCTCGGGAGAAAGAGAGTCGAGGAAAAGGAGCCTGGAGAAGGGTGCTCCGTAGAGAGCCATGCTGGCCTTCAGCTTGAGGGTATTTAGCTGGGGTCTCAGGGTGGACCCAATAGAATGTCATCAGCTTTCCACGTGCGTCCTTTGGGGTCTTGGTCTCTACTGATCGGGCAGGGGTTCATGCGGCAATGCAGCTGGTCCTGAGGTCAGCCATGGCCTTGCTGTCTGGTTTTGCTGCTGTTCTGGGCCTGGAACTGAAACACTACTGAGGCCTAGATGTTATCCCTAGATCAGCGGTTCTCAACCTGTGGGTCGCGGCCCCTTTGTGGGTCGAACGACCCTTTCACAGGGGTCGCCTAAAACCATCGGAAAACAAATATATCATTACATATTGTTTTTGTGATTAATCACTATGCTTTAATTATGTTCAATTTGTAACAATGAAATTGGGGGTCGCCATAACATGAGGAACTGTAATTAAAGGGTCGTGGAATTAGGAAGGTTGAGAACCACTGCCCTAGATGTTAATGTTTAAGGGAGTGGTCATGCAAGGGCCTGCCTGGGAGTCCCATGAAGTCACTCTCCCACCCCATGTTCCTCCTCCCAGGATGAGAGAATGCCTCCTTGCCCAGGAGTCTCATGGGGGCACAGACAAAGGCAAAAGCTCTGTCACCAAGGATGCTCCAGGCAAACACGCGGGCCAGCACCGGCCTTGCTTTGGTCAGTGGCTGTCTGGGCCTTTGCATGGGATGCACAAAATGGCAAGGACTATTGCAGCTGTCCTTAAGGAGGGCGTCCCTCACTGTCATTCTTCACCAAAGACATCTTTGCCTCAGGGAGCCACTGTCAAAACTATTAACAAAGCCCTGGCCCCTGTGGCTCAGGTGGTTGAGCATCATCCCATGCACCCAGAGGTTGCCAGTTTGATTCCCAGTCAGGGCACATGCCTGGATTACGGGCTCAATCCCCAATATCAGTGGTGGGCCATGCAGGAGACCACCAATAGATATTTCTCTCTCTCTCCCTCCCCCTTCCTGTCTCTCTCTCTAAAATCAATGAAAATATACTTAAAAAACAAACAACTATTAACACTGCAAAACTCCCCCCTACAGAGCAGAGTTCCCATTTTGCAGATGGGAACCGAGGTCATGGATGGTTAAGTGCTGTAGGCCAGTTCATAGAGAAAACTTACTCTCTTCCACCCTCCCCTGTGTGTTAATGCTCCTTTGCAATCTCTGTTAATCAAAGGATAAGCAGGGGTCCGTTTGGACTGCCAGAAAAAGGAGGCGGCCACGGTCAGACCTTCCAATGCTGTTGTGCAGGGACCCTCCCCCCTTCTCCCACACTCCCACCCCCTGCAGTCTTTAAAACCTGCTCCAGCCCCGCTGGCTGCTGTGGCTCAGGGGTTGAGCAATGGCCTATGAACCAGCAGGTCACCTTTTATTCCCCCTGGGGCACATCCCCAGATTGCAGACTCATCCCCAGTAAGGGGCGTGCAGGAGGCAGCCTATTAATTATTCTCATCATTGATGTTTCTCTCTCCCTCTCCCTCCCTCTCTTTGAAATTAATACAAATATGTTTTAGCTATAGCTGGTTTGGCTCAGTGGATAGAGAATTGGCCTACGGGTCCCAGGTTCGATTCTGATCAAGGGCACATGCGGTGGTCACAGGCTTGATCCCCAATAGGGGGTGTGCGGGAGGCAGCCGATCAATGATTTGCTCTCAGAATTGATGTTTCTATCTCTCTCTCCCTTCCTCTCTGAAATCAATAAAACTATATAAAAATAAAAGTATATTTTAAAAAACCTGTCCTAGCCGGTTTGGCTGAATGGATAGAACCTCGGCCTGCAGACCAAAGGGTCCCGGGTTTGATTGCAAGCCCTGGTCCAGGCTCCTGCAGGAGGCAACCAATTGATGTGTTTCTCTCACATCGATATTTCTCTCTGTCTTTCCTTCTCTTTCCCACTCTTTCTAAAAGATCAATGGAAAAATATCCTCCGGTGAGAATTAACAAAAATAAAAATAAATAAAACCCTGCTTCAAATGCCGGATCCGGGAAAGGGTCGCACCTGGGACCTGCCGCCCTCCCCAGGAAGCAACGACCCAGCAGCTTTGTCACGAAGTTGACACCACGCGATGGCTGCCATTCCGGATCACAGTGGTTCCCAGCGGGGTCCCCAGAGCGCCCCGGCGCTGCGCGCTCAGCGGGCGCGGGAGGAAGGTGGGGCCCTCGGATTCGGCCAGGCGGCCAGGCAGGCGGCCTCCCTGCCGTCTTCTCGCCGCACTGATGTCATCTCTTCCCGAGCTCCCCCGCTCCCCGCGCCCGACGCAGTGGCTTCCTCTTCGCGGTACCCCTGCCCCCGAGGTGGTCCCTCCCTGCCGCCTGCCCTCACACAGCCCCGCACGCGCGCGCGGGGCGCCCCTGTGGTCATCAGCACCCGCGCCCCTGCCGCACAGCCGAGTCCCCGCGGCCCCGGGAGCCATCCATTGATTCTAAAGCCTCCCGCTCCGCAGCCCTCGGGAGACCGACCCCGGCGGCCGGGGCAACCGCAGGATTTGGACCGGGTGGAGGTGAGTAGTGGCCACGCCCCGCCCCCGGGGCGCCCCTCGGGGAGCAGCCACAGGGACCACCGCTCCAGCCAGGCCTGGCCTGGGAAGCCCGGGATGAGCAGCGGGCTGGTCTCGTACGGGAGAAGACCCGCACTTGTTCAGTTCAGGGCCCCGTTATGTCCCCACCTCCTCCGACCCTGTCCTGGACCCTGGCCCCGCAGTGGGCCTATCCAGGTGGACTCGAGGGGCTGCCGAATCCGAATGGATCCCAGACCTGGGGACGTCAGTCACACAGGTCAGTGCGCCCCCAAGTGCGAAGCCTGGCACAGGGTCCTGCGGAAATAGAGTTAAGGCGGGCTTCTCTGGGCCTCGGCAGCGGAAGCAAAATAGATAATCCAAGAAACCACTTGTTATGTTTGCTTTTTACAATCATTTCATCTTCACAACAGCCTGAAGCCGGTGCCATTGTTATCCTCATTTTATGGCGGAAAAAAAATGGGGTTCAAAGAGATTAAGTGTTCTTCCGCCATGAGCAAGTGACAGCAAAGATTTGAAGTCAGGCCTGGTCGATGCCAAAGCTGGTTTTAGCCTCCACGTTATAAGCACAGCCAGCAAAGAGAGCCACGTGAGCAAAGGCGCTGAAGTGAGAAACTACGCAGAATAGAGGAGGGGCCAATGCTACCGCGTTGTATGGAGGGGTGGTATGTTAGCGTCCATTCCTTTGTTGAACATTTGAGTTGTTTCCACTTTTTGGCCGTCATGAATAATGCTGCTATAAGCACTTGTGCATAAGTTTAGTGTGAGCATAATGCTTTCACTTCCCTCGGTATATAGCTAGGAATGGAATTGCTGGGTCATGTGGTAACTGTATTGAATGATTAGAGGAGCTCCCAGGCTGTTTGGCAAGTGGCTGTACCTTTCTTCCATTCCCACCAGCAATGTAGGAGGGCTCTGAATTCTCCAAATCGTGACCAACATTTGTTGTGATCTGCTTTTTAATTCTAGCCATCCTCGTGGATTTGAAGCGGTTTTGCTTTGCATGTGCATCTTTTTCTAAGATCAGAGAACTCTTTTCCAGAAGTCTCCCAGCAGGCTTTCCACCAAGTCCCACTGGTGAGAATAGTATTAAATACACCTTCCCACGCCCATCAATAACAAAGGATGTGGATTACCAGTGAGGACTCGCCTCCTGGTTTGGAGCTGGGCTCTGAACTGCCTCCTCTGAAGCACACAGCCCTCCAGAGGGGGGGTGCTTACCCGAAAGGAACAACAGAGAAGATAGACTGCTAGTCATTGTCTTTTTGTTTGTTTGTTTGTTTGTTTTTATTATGTTCTTGTGGAAGGGAAGGGAAGCAAGTGTCTGGACTCAAAGGGTGACCAGATTTGAGACTGAGGCCTCGGGACCACACGGTCCAGGAGAAGGCCAACAAGGGGCCGATGGCATGGAGTGGGTGGGTGAAATCAGCTTATGAGACTCATGGTCAAAGAAAAGCAGGGGTGCAGGGTGGAGTTTTGCTGGGGTGGCATTGCTGGTTGTCGACTAACTGAGAAGTTCTGCAAGGCTGTGGGGACAAGCACAGGGGGAGGGTGCTCATCTCAGAGTCTGCCCAGGTCCCCTGCCCAGCCAGCCAGCAGTGCTGCTCTTTCAGCATGTGACTAACTTCCTCCTGGCAGCAGCCCATT